GATGCCGCCGATTAATTATCTGCACCATCACGGGCTCGATGAGCCGGCCTGGACATTGACTCGCGACAAGCAATCTCTTCTTGTCGAAATTTCCTCGTCTTCATCCCAGTTCACAGCCCCACATGAGACCGTGTGACCAGTGACCGCATGCGGCCAAGCTGCTCACATAGTGACTTTGCTGGAGGTTCCTGGAACTGGTCGGCACATCGACCGCTTCCTTCACGGCAAGCACCACGGCGGCTTTGACTGCCCGAACGCAGCTATCATCCCAAAGACCAGCCGCCAGCAAACAACAATTGGCAACCGACCTCTTACGTTGCCGTGTGCCTGGTCCTGGACGAACCTTGACTCTGGCTGGATACTTCCGTGATCCGAGCTCTTGTCACGGCCGCTCCACTGATTGCCAATGTCCACAAGCTGCTTGCCACTTTCGAGGACGAGCCCGTGGTTCACGTTCTCTATTGTACACCGAACCGAAGCCTAGAAGATCACAAGAACTGCAGCAAACACACTATACTCAAAGTGGCGCAGCGCTAGCCGTGAATACAAGTGTAAGGTTCGGGGAGTACCCTACCGGGTCGCGCCGAACGACTTCTGTGTTCCACTCGAAGCGCACTCCGAACACGCAGCGCCTACGTAGCAGGTGTCGTTAAATCTCCAATCCAAAAGCGAACGCTGAATGCCTGCCAGGAGCAGATCCCGAATCCCGACAGAGACCGCCCGCCCAAAATGATCAAGCAGAATCAATGCAATGCGTCCGAAGCGCAGAAACACAAACTGGATCTCTTCGCGAACAGTGCATAAGAATAACCGACAGGACCACACTCAAAGCCCGCTCCGAACGTTCATAGCAACAGCTATCGGGCGGAGTCAAATATCCATTCCAAGTTCCTCGAAGAAGCCAAACCAAAGGCGAACACTGAATGCCTGCCAGGACCGGATTCCCAATCCCGACAGAAACGACCCACCCAAAATGATCAGGCAGAATCTAGGCAATGAGTGCGAAACGAAGAAGCGCAACCTCGAATCGGCAAGAGCCGAAGGCCCGGATGAAGCCCTCCTGGAACCCTACTTGAAGCCTTTAATATGCCCTGCACGCACAACGAAGCCAAAGTTCATACCTTCCAAGCAACTGCCCCGACCTGCTGGGAAACGCAGATGGCATACCAGACAAACACCTGTGAGTGTGCCGGGAGCAGCTCAGCCAAATGCAAGGCGCTTGCTAGCTGCATACGATGCAAACAACGGGGTCTGCAGACTGAAAGTCGAGGCCCTGGATCACTTGCCCAAGACGAAAAAACCAAAGCTTCCGCAGGAACTGTGTATGCCCGAAATGAACACCGCGAATACAACGAAGCCTCGCCGAAGACTGCAAGCCTCGAAAGTGATTCCACCAAGAAGCGTTTGCCGAAGAGGAGAAAGGACGTCGGACCCTGAAAGCCAGCATGAGACGACCAAAACCCCGAGTATCTAACACCGCGATCTTGCAATGTCAGAGCAGGTAAAACCCGAATCAAAAGTGCAATCCATACAGTAACGATCAGCAAATGAAATCGCAGTCAATGGAGTAGGTCCGTGAAGTCTCATGACGCAATGTCCTTGTTCAATAACGCGTCGGTCCAAAGGCAGTTTGTCAGAACTCATACCAATGTTCCTGATGACACGCAACGCGCCTCGCAATACGTGCGTGCAAGAATAAATGTAAGATCAGTCGACATCGAACAGCCGCAATCGAACAATTACATGAGCACAATGCTCCAAGGAATGCGCGCGAAAATTCATGAAGTGTCACTCCAATCATTACAATCTCGGTCCCTCGGCTGGAGATGGTGACGCATGTGCACAATCCGTGGCAGCGCTCCTGGTACATGCCCGTCTCTTAGTAGTTATTGAACAATTTTCAAGCAGACGTTCAAAGCAGCATAATTCGTCAAAAGTCGTGACAACAGATCGCAACGCACGTGCTCAATGCAAGCTCGCCTTCTTTGCACAGTTAGTGTTATCGCCACCACCGGGCCCAAATCGGCCGATACGTACAACGCAATGTATTAGGATGCACTCTATTACAATGAGTCGTGGAAGCAAGTCGCATATCGGGGGCAGAGGTAAGGAAACTAAGCAGACATCTGCACGTTGCAATTATTCCGTGGCTTACTGGTCCTACAAGAGCTTCGGGACTAGCAGTACCGCTTGCTTTCAATCTCGCATCTTGCGAGTTCTGCCTCCTTCCAGAACGAAACCTGAAGCAAGGACACAAACTGAAGTCCTTACGTCCCTTCCCAAACGCCAGCTGCAAAGAAACCCACAGGGGCGGCTTCGGGATGGGGGTAAGAAGATTCCGAAACTGCCAGCACCACCTCCCGCATCGGCCGTCCCTGCCTCGACGAATCGAGCACTGGCCCAGGGCTCGTCGTGCCCAGGAAAGCCTTTCCAACACAGGTGAATCACGACGAGGAAACCGCGAGAAGTGGTTCACAGCGATTTTGCGTCGCACAACGGCCTCCCTTGAAAATCGACGTGACAGTCCTGAGCCGCACATCCGAAACTGCGGTCGATCCAAGACAGCGAAGTAGCCGCAGCCTCGCACTTTGGCAAGACGGCGTCCATGCGGTGCTGCGGCCATGTCTCGTTCAGACAGGCATCTCCATGCGGATGGCACAGTATCTGGATCCGAGGGCTCAAGCTCGATAGATCGTCACGTGTCGTCCACTGAAATAACGCTGTTTGGCGAGACTCCGGAAGTCCACTGAAGGAGGTGACTACGGGCCTCCGCGACGACGGCCGCCACTTGCTGTTCCAAAAAAGGCAGGAGCCCTTCCAAGAGTTGTTGAGCACGCAGCACGGCATTTGGCGTGTGCTCTGTCTCAGTCGCGTTTCTCTTCGCTTGCAGTGGAACCGTCTCTTCGAAGAGCTGTGCCTGCCCCGCCTGACAAGCTTCCTCGGGCAGACTAGGCTGCCGCGGGTTGGACACCTCCGATGGCTCGGGAAGACATGGAGGCAAAGGCGGCAGCGGCAGTCTCGAGCCCGACTCGGCCACCGACTTCTCGTATTGTGCAACCAACGCCGTGTCTGTGCTGTTGTGCCCAGAACTCGAGGCACGACGCCGCTTGCAACTTTTCCGTCGATCGCCGCTGCAGTGCTCGCCCTCTTGTATCCAGCGCAGCAGTAAGTCCAAATAACCACAGCCTCGATGGACGGCGAGCCGTCCGGCGTGGATGCTCTGAGTAAAATTGCAGAGGGAATCTTCGCAAAGAGCTAAATGAGCATCGTCCATTGCAGCCAGCGCATGGGCGACGCATGCCGCGCTTTCTTCCATCACCGGCGTTATCGAGGGCACGTGCTTCCAGCGGCGCAAAAAAGCTCTGGCTTCTCGCAAAAGCTTGTCCGCGCGACATATCTCGGCGAACAGCACATCCAAGCTCAGTCGCTCGTGATGCTCGACGAGACAGTTCAACACTTCTCGAACTTCCCCCAGAAAGTTGCGCTCATAAACTCCTCCCGGCTCCTGAGAGGCCGTGATAGGATTGCTTTCATGATTCGATGCCAGGCTGCCCTTGAGCTTGTTGTGAAAGAAGCAAGCCCTGTAAACGAGATCGGTAAGCTCTTCGTTTGACTGGACAAGAGACTGTTGCAGCAGAGCAGACAAGGTTCTCTGCAGCAGCTCGACGTTTTGCAATGGCCGGCCTCCTTCGCAAGGAAGCAGCAATGCCCGATCTCCGCCACCCAGAGAAGTCGTCTCGGCAGCCTCCATCGCTGGGAGTTCCACGGCCCAGCAGCACCCCGAGCTTTCGCAAGACAGCGTCCACTCGGCGATGCCGCGGAGACCAGCAAAAGGGAAATGCAAATCGAGCCCAGGCTAGGTAACGAAAACAGCAGAATTGGAAGCAACCTCGGAGCGGAGAACATCGGCAAGCCAACCGACTTCAATGCCACCCCCCCTTCAGAGCGATTCTCTTGCTGAGGACAAGACCGATAGACCTCGCGGTGCGAGTCGAGACAGCCTAAGCAGCAACAGCAGCCATGCCAAGCCCTGCAAACCACGATCTGAATCTGGACCCGGACCCCGATGAGAGCAAAGTTCGGCAAGTGCGTTGTGGCATTTGAAGTGAAAGAAATCATTTTGTTTTGGCACAAGCGCAAGCACCACCGCAAAAGATCAGCGCCTCGGGAATGAATGGCCCCAGCCCCGCACTTTCGCAAGACAGCGTCCATGCGATGCCGCGGCCATCCTACGCGAAGCTCAGCGAGCGTTCCTCCACGGCCGCCACATCCAAGTACTGCCTCGTCCAAGCCGCTGTCTAAGCCACGTGGTGGCCGAAGCCCCGCACTTTCGCAAGACAGCGTCCATGCGGTTCCGCGGCCAGCCTACATCTGCGAGGCAGCGGCAACACTTTCCTGCGCAAACGTTGCTCGATGCAAACGCACGTAGGCACTCAGATAGCGCATGTGCGTAAATGCAAGGGACGTCGCTTGTGCAGCCACGGCTTGGATTTCCTCGTCCGACATCCAAAAACCCCACCACTCCAAGCAATGGCTCCAATGCTCCGTCTTCTTCTGAGGCGAGATGTTATCGTAAGAGCACGCTCTGACCCTCAGGAAAGCAACAAGGCCCCTGGCCACATTGTGCAGCTCGGCCGGCACAAAGCCAAAGTCCTGCTCCTCTGCAGCAGCTGTCGGCTGTACAAAGCACTTCTCCTCGATGAAGTCCTCCAGCTGGAGAACCATGCCATGCTGGGCAAACTTGAACATGCCTCCATCGGTTTTGCTGGATTGCTTTCGCGGCTTCGTTGGAGCATGCCGCTCCCTGCATCCGGCCGGTCGCTGCCCTGTTTCGTTGCAGCGCTCCAGCGGCAGAAGTTGGTGCAGGTTCCGCAGCAATGCCTTCCGCGGATCAAACCAATGCAGAAGACACACGAGCGAGGAAAACAAAACGAACAAAGTAATGTACAGCTTCGAACACTTTCATACTTAGCAAAGCGACCGTCAATGGCTTGTGCCGGTAGCTGGGAATGTCTCGCATCCTCTTGTTCGGTTGCTGGTCGCCATAAGTGATCCCTTCGGCTTCGCGCTCTTCTCGCGTGAGGGGCTTTTCGTCCAGTTTAGTCGTCTTTCGATTGACCCGTCCATGTGTGTCTAGATCATGGATAGGCTTGTTGTAAAAGCCCCTCTGGTCAGCGACGACGGTCACGTCCTTCATCGCCTTCTCCAGGGTTTCCAACGTCAACTTAGGTGCCTCTGCACGCTTTTGAGTCTTGCCAACCACAATCTCGTGCCAGTCCTGCAAAGACTTGGGCCAGCTGTCCCGATTCATTTGATCCCAGTAGACCCGCGCGAGGGAAGCGTTGACATGCATGCACCGACGCACTCTGTGACGCTCCGCATATTTGTCGGTGGGCGTCCATGCGGTACTGCAGACAAGCTCAACCCGAAGAAGCCCGTGCTTGCGCTCGCCCTCCTTAAGCATGTGAGAGACATCCCGTGGTGTCGCCGCCAAAACGTGCGCTTGCACGTGTTGAACCGATTCAATCACCTCGACGTCCTTCTCCTTCACGGTGCACAAGAGCTCTATCGCAGTATCGCCTTCTTCCTTGGGCAGCATCTGGAACATCACCAGTGCACTGCGACCAAGCAACCCCACGCACACGGTGGGTCCCCATGAGCTTAATTCTCGCGATGCATCCATGCGTTGCCTGAGCTCAGCGGCCAGCAAGACACCGCACCTTTGAGTTGCCGAGGTCCGGACATCTTGGCACACTCCGACTCTTCAGTAGGCGGTTCATTCCTGACCGTCGGATATGTTAGCCGTCGACGAGACAGCGCCAGTGCCACGACCCGAGGCCCGCCTCGTGACTCGAGAACCGGACTTCTCGGCAGGCTCCGACTCTTCCCGCGGCGACTCTTTCCACGTCTCCTTCCTGGCCTTCACGCACCTTGGGTCGCGGGCAGGAGCCCCGTTGCACGCCCGTGAAAAGCAAGCACGAGGACGCATGCAGGGTCCTCTGCACAGTTGCTGGCAGGAGCCAACCACTGGCCGCCATCGTCGTGGCCTGAGGTCCGGACTTCTTGGCAGGCTCCGACTCTTCCCGCGGCGACTCTTTCCACGGCTCGTTCCTGGCCTTCACGCACCTTGGGTCGCGGGCGGGAACGCCGTTGCACACACGTGAAAAGCAAGCACGAGGATGCATGCAGGGTCGTCTGCACAGTTGCTGGCGGGAGCCAACCACCGGCCGCCATCGTCGTGACCTGAGGTCCGGACTTCTCGGCAGGCTCCGACTCCTTCGACGGCTCGTTCCTGGCCGTCGGATTTCTTTCGTTGCACACACATGAAAAGCAAGCACGAGGATCCGTGCAGGGTCCTCTGCTGGGTTGCTGGCAGGAACCAAGGACTGGCCGCCATCGTCTCGACTTGAGGTCCGGACTTCCTGGCAGGCTCCGACTCCTTGCACGGCTCGTTCCTGGCCGTCAGATTTCTTTTGCTTGGCCTAAGCTCGGAATCCAACAAGAGAGCCGCCGACCGCCACCGTCGTGACTTGAGGCCCGGACTTCTTCGCAGGCTCGGACTCCCCCGTCGGCTGGCTCCTGGCCGTGAGGTCTTGTGCACTAGCTCCTGTTTCCAGCCACAATCCCCAGAACACCTGTCGGCAAACGAAGATGCGGGAGACGTCGAAATCCTCGCGATCAGGACATACGATCAACCGCAAAGCAACGAGCACGAGCAGCCAGCTCTTTCTGCCGAGAAGCCTGAACATGTGCTCTGCAAATGCACGCATTATCTTTTCGTCGATCCTGCAAACTGCGAGTGCAACACACAGTGACACACACACACACACACACACACACACACACGCAGACACATTTATGAGTTTCATGTCCAGAGAGAACCTGTCCTCGCCCAATACAGTTGTTGACCCCAAAAATTTTCAGCATGTTGGCCCAAGTACAGGCGACACATGTTCTCGAAAAGCGGCACCAGCCATTGCCGCCACGTTTCATGGGTGCCTCCCTTTCCCAGCAGTCGACTGTTGCCTTGCAAAAGCGCTGCATGATCTTGTACAGCAGCTGGCCATCTTCGCGGGTCGTTTGTTCACTTCTGTTCTCTAGGGCCGCGACGTCCAAGAACTGCAACCGCTCGTAGTTTCCCTCGTCCATGCCGTAGTTGTCAGGTTTGGCATCCCAGAGGGTCCACCCGTTCTCGAAGAATGTGCCGAACATGACGAGCGCGGATGTCCACAGTTTCAGGTGCTCCTCAAGCAACCGCTCCGTCATGGGCAGCTGCCAAAGCTGCAACAGTGCCGTCTCCATAGAAAGCCCAACGCGATCGCAGACCATGATGGCGCCTGCGACCTTCGAGTCCCTGGCCCTGGGATCGTCTTCACTCCCTGCCATACGCCAGTCACGGTCGCCCCACAGGTGCACGCCTCCGTAGTAACGGGGCATGCACGGTCGTACTTTGCCACTCCTCTCGTACGCACTCCTGTACATTTTCAGCTCTTGCAGCGGATCGTTTTTCCCCATCCAGTCATTTTTGTTCATGCCCGCATTGGGCACGATCTTCACCGCCAACTTCCAGGTCTCCAAGCCGTAGACCACCTTGTAAGCTCCGGTACCCAAACGGTAGAGCGTGTCCTCGATGAAGATGGCACCGCCGCCGGGCACGCGGAACTCGAGCTTGGCTCTGCCTTTCCGCCATCTGATCATTGGGTTTTTCTTGTTGTACCCGTCCATGTCTGCTTGCAGCTCTGCAGCGAACAAATTGGCATTCGAGGGCAAGGAGCGGGCCGCCATAGCCCAGCGGCACACCGAGCTTTCGCAAGACAGCGTCAACCCGGCGGCACCGCGAAGACTAGCGCCACCACAGAAATCGAGCCCGAGCTACGCAGCAGCCCAGCGGCACACCCAGCTTTTGCAAGACAGCGTCCACTGGGGGTCACCGCGAAGGCCAGCGCGACCACAGGAATCGAGCCCGAGCTACGCGGCACGCACAAATCGAAAAAGCATACAAAGGAATGCATGCAGTCAAATTGAAAGCGCATGGAATGCAACTCTCATCAGAGCGATCGTCTTGCTGAGGACAAGACCGGTAGTTCTCGTGGTGCGAGTCGAAACAGCCTAAGCAGCAGCAGCAGCAGCAATGACAAGTGCAAGGCTTTGCTCGAAGCGGCCCTCCAAGTCACCATCTAAAGCTCGAACCGGCTCTGGCGGGATTTTGACAGAAGCGCCGCCAAGCCCGTCACAACTAGCCGCCTGGGCCATGATGAGTTGGCCGCAGCCCCGCGCTTTCGCAAGACAGCGTCCACACGGTTCCGCGGCCATGCTACATCTGCGTGTCAGCGGCGCTACCTCAGCCCGCACTTTTGCAAGACAGCGTCCGTGCAGCAGAAAAGTGCATCCTACATCTGCGCGGCAGCCAGCTCTTTCTGCCGAGAAGCCTGAACACGTGCCCTGCAAGTGCACGCATGCACGCTTCGTCGATCCTCCTGCAACGTGCGAGTGCAACACACAGTGACACACCCACACGCCACGTATGGTTTAGGCTTCAGACTTCCGGCTTATTAAGGATTTAATGTCCAGCAAGCACCCGTCCTCGACCAAAACAGTTGATCACCCCAAACAGGTGCAGCTTCTGGACCGAAGTACTGTTGACACATGGTTTGGAAAAGCGGCTGCAGCCATGTCTGCCACGTTGGATGACTGCCTCCCCTTGTCAGCAACTGGACTGTTGCCCTGCAAAAATTCTTCATGATCTTGTACAGCAGCTGGCCTTCAAGGTGATTGGGACTAAGGCTTCTCCTCTCCATGGCCCCGGCGTCCAAGAACCGCATCCCATCGTAGTCTCCCTCGTCCACGCCGTAGTTTTCAGGTTGCGCATCCCAGAGCACCCACCCGTTCTCGAAGAATGTGCCGATCATGGCGAGCGCGGATGTCCACAGTCGCAGGTGCTGCTCGCGCAACTGCTCCGTCATGGGCTGTTGCCACAGCTGCAACAGTGCCGTCGTCATAGAGATCTCAACGCGATCGCAGACCAGGACGGCGGCGGCGACCATCGGCCCCTCGTCCACCTCAGTCCCTGCCAAAGCGTCGACCTCAGTCCCTACCAAAGCGTCGTCGAGGTCGCCCCACAGGTGCAGGCCTCCGTAGCACCGGGGCATGTACGGACGCACTGCCTCATTTTGGGACGCCCTCAAGTACTGCCTCAGCTCCCACAGCGGATCGTTTGTCGTCATCCAGCCTTGTTTGTTCATGCCGGCATTGGGCACCATCTTCACCGCCAACCTCCAGTTCTCCAAGCTGAAAGCCACCTTGAAAGCCCCGCAACCAAGACGGTCCATCCTTTCCTCGATGGCGATGGTAGCAGAGCTCCCGGGCACCCGGAAGACAAGCTTGGCTGTGCCTGTCTGCCATCTGAGCAATGGGTTTTTCCTGGTCGATTCCCGTGCTCGCAGATCCGCTTCGACCAAATAAGCATCCGGAGGCAAGGACCTGCCTGCCATAGCCCAGCGGCACACCCAGCTTTTGCAAGACAGCGTCCACTGGGGGTCACCGCGAAGGCCAGCGCGACCACAGGAATCGAGCCCGAGCTACGCGGCACGCACAAAAAAAAAAGCATGCAAAGGACCGCATGCAGCGAAATTGAAAACGCATCGAATGCAACCCTCATCAAAGCGATCGTCTTACTGAGGACAAGACCGGTAGTTCTCGCGCTGCGAATCGAAGCAGCCTAAGCACTAGCAGCAATGACAAGTGCAAGGTTTTGCTCGAAGGCGGCCCTCCAACTCACCATCTAAAGCTCGAACCGGCTCTGGCAGGATTTTGACAGAAGCGCCGCCAAGCCTGTCACAACTCACCGCCTGGGCCATGATGAGGTGACCGCAGCCCCGCGCTTTCGCAAGACAGCGTCCACGCGGTTCCGCGGCCATGCTACATCTGCGTGTCAGCGGCGCTACCTCAGCCCGCACTTTTGCAAGACAGCGTCCGTGCAGTAGAAAAGGGCATCCTACATCTGCGCGGCAGCCAACTCTTTCTGCCGAGAAGCCTGAACATGTGCTCTGCAAGTGCACGCATGCACGCTTCGTCGATCCTGCAAATTATTGCGAGTGTAACACACGGACACACCCACACGCCACGTATGGTTCAGGGTTCAGACTTCCGGCTTATTAAGGATTTAATGTCCAGCAAACGCCTGTCCTCGACCAATACAGTTGTTGACCCCAAAAATTTTCAGCATGTTGGCCCAAGTACCGGTGACACATGTTCTCGAAAAGCGGCTGCAGCCATGTCTGCCACGTTGGATGACTGCCTCCCCTTGTCAGCAAATCGACTGTTGCCCCGCAAAAGCGCTTCATGATCTTGTACAGCAGCTGGCCTTCAGCGTGATTGGGATCACAGCTTTTCTCCTGGATGGTCGCGACCCTCAAGAACCGCATCCGCTCGTAGCCTGCCTCGTCCACGACGTAGTTTTCAGGTTGCGCATCCCAGAGCACCCACCCGTTCTCGAAGAATGTACCGATCATGGCTAGCGCGGATGTCCACAGTCGCAGGTGCTGCTCGCGCAACTGGTCCGTCATGGGCTGTTGCCAAAGCTGCAGCAGTGCCGTCGCCATAGAGAACTCCGCGCGATCGCAGACCATGACGGCGGCTGCGACCGTCGACTCCTCGTCGACCTCAGAGGATGCCAGAGTGAAGTCCCTGTCGCCCCACAGATACAGGCCTCCGTAATACCGGAGCAAGTACGGACGCACTGCGGCATTTTGGAACGCCTTCACGTACTGCTTCAGCTCCCGCAGCGGATCGTTTGTCGTCATCCAGCCACTTTTGTTCATGCCCGCACAGGGCACGATCTTCACCGCCAACCTCCAGTTCTCCAAGCTGAAAGCCACGCTGAGACTCCCGCAACCAAGACGGTCGATCCTTTCCTCGATGGCGATGGTATCAGGGCTCCCAGGCACCCGGAAGGCAAGCTTGGCTGTGCCCGTGTGCCATCCGATCAAAGGCTTTCTGCTGTTCCACCCGTCGGTAGCTCGCAGATCTGCTTCGAGCAAGTAGGCATTCGAGGGCAAGGACCTGGCCGCCATAGCCCAGCGGCACACCGAGCTTTCGCAAGACAGCGTCCACCCGGCATCACCGCAAAGGCCAGCGCCACCACAGCAATCGAGCCCGAGCTACGCGGCACACACAAAAAGCATCCAAAATACTGCATGCAGCGAAACTGAAAGCGCATCGGATGCAACCCTCATCAGAGCGATCGTCTTGCTGAGGACAAGACCGGTAATTCTCGTCGTGCGAGTCGAAGCAGCCTAAGCAGCAGCAGCAGCAGCGACAATGACAAGTGCAAGGTTTTGCTCGAAAGCCCTCCAAGCCACCATCTAAAGCTCGAACGGCCTCCAGACCCCCAATCGAAAGTCAGGTTTAGCATAGCAAGTTACGGCATCGGAAGTGGCGGGATTTTGACAGAAGCGCCGCCAAGCCTGTCACAACTCACCGCCTGGGCCATGATGAGGTGGCCGCAGCCCCGCGCTTTCGCAAGACAGCGTCCACGCGGTTCCGCGGCCGCCATCCCACGCCGCCTCGGCCATAAGGTGGCCGCAGCCCCGCACTTTCGCAAGACAGCGTCCATGCGGTTCCGCGGCCATGCTACATCTGCGTGTCAGCGGCGCTCTTCCGGCCTCGGCCCGCCCTTTCGCAAGACGGCGCGGTGCTACTCTTCGCGGCGGCCGGCAGGTCTTCTTCTGGCCCCAAACCCGCGAAGACGTCTTCTGAATTGAACCCGACGCTCGAAACCGGACAAGCGCAGTGCCACGTCGAGGGGAAGATGCCCGAGTTCGTCACGAGCCTGGGGGCTAGCTCGCGCCCGCACCAAACACGTCACCCAGTTCAGGCTGCCTCTTTCAGCGGCTTGATGAAGCAGATGAAAGTTCTCCGTGTAAGGTCGCACTGTAGCACCGGCTCGCAGCAAAGAGATTACCGGACCGATCGAAGAATCTATGAAGCACCTTTCGATGGGACCGCGACCTTTGGCATCCTCCTGAGAAGCGTCCGCCGCATTTCGCAGCAGAAGCCGCACCATCGATCTCGAACCCATCGACGCGGCAATGAGCAAAGGAGAGTCCATGTCCCAGTCTCGGCGATTGACATCTGCTCTAGCAGAGATCAACGAGGTCGCCACTTCCACGTTGTCCACGCTGCAGGCGCAGCAGAGAGCCGTGCTTCCTTCCGTCTCCAACGTAGCTCCTGAGGCAAGAAGGCTCTCCACTATGGGGTGGCGCATGGTAGGAATCATCGAAGCGAGACAAAGCGGAGTATAACACCCTTGCTCCCTCAGACCGCGACGATGCGACAAGTCAACGTTCGGATCCACCCAGCTTGCAAGCAGCCGATCCACCTCGAAC